ATCACTTTTAGCACGACCAAAAGCCCCTAGTGAACCCATCAGTCAGTAGCTGTGGCAGCAGCAGCAGCAGCAGCAGTTACCCGCAGCCCCCGCTAAGAAAACACACGGCTGTGGCGGTGATGGCCAGATAACTGGGCAGATTGTGGGCGCTGTCGGCATCCCCATTCCAGGGCAGTCAAGCGGCATCGCAAACACTCGCAGACACTCGCGCCTGGTCGCATCGTCGCTCCGTAGCATACGTGGGTGGCAGCGGGGTCAGCTCGTAATGAAGATAATGGAGCAGAGAGCTGTAGACCACAAAATAAACAAGCGGACGCTACGTAAGCCTGCCTCCCAAATGCATCTCTCCGCATAAAAAAAAATCCAGCACTTTTTATGCATCTCATCGGACACGTGACCTTCTGGAATTTTCCTTTTTTTTTCAACAGCATTGGTTCAAAACAAGCAAACTCTGGATGGGTTTCGAGATTCAGTGTCTCATCATCAGCAGCATCAGGTTTGATTGAATCAATGCTGGTGAACTGCCAGATGTTTACAGGCAAGGACCCCTCTGTGGTTAAAACTTATTTTTCTCGTTGAGGTCACCATCAATTGCCGGAAACTTAAACGGAAATAATCCGTAACCTCTCGACAGTTTAGCACCTGTGGAAGGCAAACATCGAACGACAAAAAAAATACAAAGACTCACTGCATAGGACAACGGCGAAGTTTACAGCTCGACCAGCTCACGGTGGGAGGGCACGGCTCTCCGTGGCAGGGCGCGGCGCCACTCCTCGAGATGGCGGAGGTACTCTCTTTGGGATCGGCAGCCACAGTGCTTTTAAACGAAGCACCTACCGGAGCGCACGGATTTTCTGCGTAAGGGGGCAACCTTAGCGTCCCCGACGACGAACGATGACGCACGGAGGAACAGCGGCGACGTTACGTTTTGATATTGAGTCCAGAGCCTCGGGAGATGCGGGGAGCGAATGTCAGAGATGTGTCAGCGGACGGTCGTTCGCTCGCTACAAGTACCACGACGACGGCAATCGTGAGGGCGTCGCGTGCTCTGGCGTTGCCGTACCCCGACGACGGTGCTCTCGGCCCACTCTCACCGCGTGCCTCGCTCGACCAGCATCCCCCTGACTCGCTCGTCGTCACACGAACGAACCGTATCGCGACCGCCAGCTGCTCGCCCACAAACCACTGCTCGGCCTCGGTGCAACTGGATTGGGCAGACTGCCTTCGAGTCAGCGCCGAGCCGGGAGCGTGTACCGGCCAGCCACTGCGTGTGACGATCCCAGCTCCGGCCTTTTCCAGCCCGTACGCGCCACGGTTAGTTGAGGCCATTTGTAAGCGGATGTTTATGTTTTGAGGTCTCGAGTTTGAGAGCGATAATGAGGCCTCTGTCAAGGCAGAGTGCACTCGGGGCAAACGTCATATCGCAAAACCGGCTCCCGCACCCTATCTCCTTTTAACGCACGTAACTACCCGGTACAACACAACACAACACCCACACACAACCCTATTTAACACTTACACGCAGCCCTACCTAACACCCACACACAGTCCTACCTAACACTCACACCAGCCCTACCTAACGAGCAGACATAGCCCTACCTAACACCCAGATACAACCCTACCCAGCACCCACACATAACCCTACCTAGGACACACACACTGCCCTAACTAACAGCCAAACACAGACCGACCTAACACCCACAAACAGCCCTACTTAACACTCACATGCAGCCCTAACCGCCACACAAAAGCCGACCTAACACCCACACACAGCCCTACTTAACACTCACACCAGCCCTACCCAGCAACCACACATAGCCCTACCCCCCTACCTAACACCCACACACAACCCTACCTAGCACACACACACAGCCCTAACTAACAGCTACACAGACCTACCTAACACCCACACACAGTCCTACCTAACACCCACACACAGCCCTACCTAACACTCACACCAGCCCTACCCAGCAACCACACATAGCCGGTCCCCCCTACCTAACACCCACACACAACCCTACCTAGCACACACACACACACAGCCCTAACTAACAGCTACACAGACCTACCTAACACCCACACAAAGTCCTACCTAACACCCACACACAGCCCTACCTAACAGTCACACCAGCCCTACCCAGCACCCACACACCACCCTACCTAACACCCACACATAGCCCTACCTAACACACATACACATGGCACTACCTAACACCCCACACACAACCTAACACTCCACACAAAACGTCAACACAGAGCTCTAGCACCGCGCACACGCAATACCTGCACCCAGCTCTGCCATCTGCACCGAGCACCACGGCGTCCGTGTGACCGGTGAGCGGCGCGGCCCAGCACCACAACTGCCGCCGCCACCACCAGCATGGTGCCCGTGAGCGCAGGAGGACGTACCGGGCGCAGAGTCCACCACGCAGCGCCGCCGACCTCAAACCCTCCCGACTGCCACGCGCGCCACGGCCGCGGCGCCACAGGCCGCTCGCCTGCCCGGCTGATGCTATCGCTCTCCGCGCGCCCTTCGCCCCCGGAAGTGCCCCAGCACCTGTTTGCTGTACAAATACCGAGCTGGACTTCCTGCGCGGTGGCTGCCGCGTCGCCCGCACCAGCTCCCGCGTCCGATGTGTTCGGCAGCCGCCACCGCCGCCGCTCGACGCTCTTCCGGCCCCCGAGCGAGCCCCAGACCCCGCCCTACGGGCCTGCGTGCCAACGCGACGCAAGCGCGCGGCCGACACCTGGCCTAAACGTTGGAACCCATTGACAGCGGCGGCGTCGTTTCCACGCCTTTGTAAATTATAATGCACTGTACAACTTCGCAGCGGCCCGAAACGCAATCTACACATTTCATCGCGCGTCTACGCTTCGGCGAACGCACGCTCAAGAATGTTCGCGATAAGGCGGTCGGGGAGTGATTTTTTTTGCCCGCACGCATAAAGTTGCGGCGGTGTCGAGTGTCGCGCATGACGAGTCCCGGCGGCTCGCGTTTCCTCGCGACGCCGGCCTCGCGACGCCGACCTCACACCCCCAACGCGCCGGCTTCTCTCGTGACCCCCAGAGACACGGGGGCTTCGTTTTAAAGTTTAAAGCTCAACAGGGGAGGTGGCTGGGGGCTCCTAGCGTCATACCCAACCGCGTCTCCAGACCGGGCACCGGGGCGGCCGACACACCAGGTGCACATACGGACAAATGTGGATTATTCGTCAACTTGGGAACTTATTGCAGATTATTGTTACTATACCAATAATTACTTATTCACCCGGATAGGGCAAAGGCTCTGTTTGAGCAGGGTCCTGCTACATTGGGATGTTTGACCAACACCAATGACATTGCGTGTATTTAGCTGGATAGCCCGGAGGATATCCACGTGGAACAGGGGGAGCACGTGCAAACATCACACAGAAAGGTACCCAAGGTCCTTCTTTCTGTTTGGCACAAATATTACCACTGTGACACCCTGCCACTCATATAAATGTGTATATGGGCAGCATATCTACAGCCTTCTCCCGTGAACCACGCCACTCCCCACTCTAATCCCCTTCCCCCCGCCGCCCCCCGCCGTGAGAACGGACACTGCCACAGCTCTCCATGCAGCAGCAGCAGCGTCGTGGCCCTGATGCAGCCTCTTCCTGCCTAGCCTCGTCTCTCCTGACCCCTTTGGCTCAGCAACTGTGCTTAAAAATGAAAAACATCGATTTGCACGCGAGTGACAAACGCATTTAATTCTGCATGAGAGAACCAATTACATGAGATTCAAACGAGTTGCATGCAACTTATCTGCCGATAAAAATATCTGGTCAAATCGGAATGGGTTGTTCTTCATGTAGCCGAGGGGAAGGGAGGCTCATGACTTGTCTGCTGACCCCTTGTCATCTCCGTGGCGGCTCCAAGGTCCGACGTAATCGGTAAGTCCCCCGTCACCATACGCGCCACGTCACCGAGGCAGCAATTCGACAAACCGTACGGCAGTGGCACATGTGCGGCAATCGCACGACTAAAACCAGGCAAGCGACATTGTGCAAACTGGACACAAGCCGATGAAAAACGAGGGCTTCGTTCAAAAACTTGGGAGTCCGTTGGGGACAAAAGAAGAACTCGTTCTTTGAATGGAATTTCGATGCCGATTCGCGACACCTCGAGGGCGTGAGTCAGTGGCCGATCCAAGAGAAAACCCAGAACTGGTATTTTATTGATATTTACCAAACACAATACATTATGTTTTTTTAAATTATTTACATGCGGCCTTATTGAAAAATCTCAACATTCTGGGATCGCCTGCCCCCACCCCCCTGCCGGGAAGTCTCCAGCGAGACCTCCGCTGTGAATCTTTCGGCGCTGGCCGCTGAGAGGGCGGAGGGGCACGGCTCGTCACGAAGGCACTCGCGCGACACCGAGATCCGCGCTCCCGCCACGGCTGCGCAGGGCCGGCGAGAGGTCACTTCTAGCCGGAGGGGCAGCGGCGGCGTGCAGGAGGCGCGTGCACCGCATGGTGCGGTGTGTGCACGGCGAGCGTGCAGCGCACGCGCGGTGCACGCTCGCCGGGCAGAGACAAATGCTCGCCGCACCTGTGCAAACACGCCGCGCGGAGCCGCTCGGCGTGTTTTCGGCCGCTCGGCGGGTGACCGGAGGCAAATGTGTTTTGACAGCCCAATCTGGCCACCTCCTGCTATACGAATTGAGCCGCGTGCTGGCACCGCGATGCGACGCATTATCAGCCGAAACAGTGGGGGAACTTGTGATTATGTTCTTGGCAAAATGCAGAGGCGCTCCCCGCCGGGGCGTTCCGACACGTGGACTTCGCCATCCACTGTACGTCTCCCACAGGGCCGCCGCTGAAATCGCTCCGCCGCCAATCGCAGACTCCGAGGGGCGCCGACGCCTTAGAGGTCATGCAAGGTAAACAACTGCCGGTCGCCGTGCGACCCCCGGTAACGAAGACGCGGGGCTTTCTCGCGGCATCGCAAACGGCGCGTCGCGACCTCCGTCCGTACCTTTAGTGGGCGCGGCACTGAAGAGCTTCTCGGAGCTCACGTCGGAGACCTGCAACGGCAAGGGAGAGAAGTCGCTGTCAGAGACGCAGGATCAGGGAAGGAAACCAACAGCTTGAAGTGTGTACAGTGCTCGACGGTGCAAACTATTCGTCGGGTAGGCCGACTCAAAGTGATCTCCTGCTGCTCAAGCAACCATCGAGGTGGCGCTCCTCCCCTGATTACAGCGTCGAGCCAGAGGTGGCAATTCCACATTTCTATGACGGGGGCGGGCCCATCGTTTCATCTACCAAAGGGCTTGTTAAATAACATGACATGCATTCACCTTCATCCTCGATCGCCAATCCAGTTACATAAAAACACAAATTTGACGTATTGTACGCAACACGTGTGCTCAGCGTGGAAGAGCCAACTAAACACTCTCTGGAGCCACCTCCCGCCAGCAGTGGCTCTGAGCCAGACACTGCACGGCTGAACAAAGCATCAAAAGCTGCGCCGGGTGTCTGGACACGAAGCGATCATCACACGCCCGGCCTCGGCGTCGTTACGGTGAACGACGCGCTGCACCTCCGCGAACGGCGCGGCCATGAACCGGCGCCACCGCCTCTCTGCCCGTAGCCGCCACTCGCCGCGCGTGCGGTCGCCGAACAGCACAGCCGCGACAGAGGTGAAACGGTTCGTCCAAAACACCGCGACTCCGCGCCGCCACCCTGCGAATCTCAAACCGCTCCCCTCCACCGGCCGCTCGCGGTCCGGAGCGCTCGCAGGCTCATCTTGCGCGGAGCGACGGTGTTGCTCACCGCCATCACCGCCGCCAACGCGTGCAGGCTCCGCCGGGCGAGAGCCACGGGACCGGTTTGTGTCGTTCCACTCGGATCAACCTCCTCGTCTCGGCAGACACCTGTCGCACAGCGCCTGTCCGCCCCGACTTCGCACGGGCCGCCGAGGCTTGACGCGCGCCCGCCACAATTTACGACGGCTCCGCAGAGGGCCCACGCAACAAAATTAAACAAGCAGGAGCTGCGTCCTTGATTTAATCCGGCGCGGCAATAACGCCGCGGCCTTAAAGGACGCCTAATGCACAAGTGGAAGATCAAAGGCTCGACTGTGGCTATGAACTCCACACCAAGGGACCATGTAACCTCGCATTGACGTATAACCAAGTCTCTAATAACCCGCTCGTCATAGGCCGTGCAAAAGAAGGGCCATTGCCTGAAACGTTACCAATTCTATAGTTTCCTTTTGATGTCACTGTGTTATTGTGCCACATTTTTATTATTTCTATTTTTGCACCGCTGCCAATGCAGTACCACCAGATAATTGACTTTTATTTTCAATACTAAATGGCTATTTGTGATCGGGAATATGAAAGACTGGCTGTAGTTATGCAGAGAAAGTGATTCATTGCACTCCTCCGATAATTTTGTCAATAATTCATTTGCAGGAATGGTTGAAATCAGGGATTTGGCTTTGGGCAGTCATGGCCAATGGCATCACAGGCTCGTGAACGTCTGCCTCACTGCGCAATGTACTCAGTGCAATCCCGGGACACTACTTCGTAGCGGCCACGAGAGTTCAACCCCTGGCCACGTGCAAAGTGGCTCTGCGGCGAGTACGCCAACTCAAATGATATCCAAGCAGCCCATAATTACACACCAACCCCCCATCTAACATTTACACACTTCCACAAACACTCTCCCGTGTAGCCCACCAAAGGACATTTGGACAAGCGTTGTTGGCACGCATCCGTCACGGCGCACGAGGTGGTGGTGTGGCCAGAACCACGCCAGGCCGCCTTTGTCTCTCCAGTGGCGATGTTTATACACCGCAGCAGGTACTCATTTAAAGCCGGGTGAACCTTGGGGAGGCTCAAGGATCGGTTCAGATATTCGCCATCAAAAGGGAATCAGAAATCGCTGGGTTTGCAGTACAGCTCGCTAACCACCGCACCAACGCTCCCCCGTAACGTACACAAGTCTTCGCACACACGAACGTGTCGGCCAGTGTCTCGCCAAGTCGACAGGTGGCAGCAAACCCACACGCACCTCTATCGCGCACACAGACACAGAGACTGTACACGGTACACATGCTGCGTATTGTAGGGGAATACAAATGCACCCCGAGGGCAGTAAGCAAACACAACGCGGGAGAGAAAGTGCTTCTGTACCCACACGCACTACAGGGTGCGTATATCGACACACGGGTGGACCAGCAGCTTGTTGCAAAGGCTCGCGGTGCCGATTGAGAGGCTGCCTTCTGCGGTGGCATCAACCGTGCGCAAATACCGCGTGCCGTACACGACACATCCCGTGACGTCATTCGCAAGAGGAGGCCACTGCGTGCCGGTGTCACTGTTCAAATTTGCTAAATATCCTGACACCACAACTTTACTCGATTGGGATTTTGAAATAGCGACCCTTCTGAAAAGGAGTCCTGAGACTCGGTCAGGCTTTCCTGAGTAAACACAACTGTAATCATATTAACGATTGAGTGTCTATGAACACACACGAAGTAGTGTATGTTAATACAACCACTATAAATATACGACAAGACAATCTGCAGCGTACAGGCCTGAAGAACACACACACACCATACATATTATAAACGCGCACACACGCACGCTTCTGTCCCCTCCCTTCAAACACTGAGGATCCCATTAATTCTCGTCCCACATCACAATGAGCACAACAGCACGACCGCATTCTCTAAGCCGCAAGCGTCACTCTGAACAGAATGACGCCGCCGGTGCTTGACACGCATTCCACGCACAGAGACGGGTGAAAAATACAACATTTATGGCTTCGTAACATCATCGTTCGCGTCGCTTTGCCGAACATAAGCAACAAAAGTAATCGGCAGACAACTCTCCCCATGATTCGTGTAAAAAAAAAACTGACCACACATCCTATCAGCCAGCCGCAAGTGCATAGTTTCAGCAGCACTGGCTCAATGCAAGCAAACTCTGAACCGGTTTCGACAGTGTCTCACGAGCAGAGCCACGCTCCCTTGAACCCCCCGGACGTTCATAGGCGAGGCACCTCGCCACACACCACGTGCTCATACACGCTTATAAATAACTCTTGAGTCAACTTAAAGGTCTCTGAGGAATAGCGCTTACAGGTCAACACGACGTCGCAGGCTGGAACCGCCCGGGTGCGGCAGCGCAGCGTGGGCCCCCCCGGCACAGAGCGGTGGCCGAGCGGCCGGCGCGGAGGGCGAGCGAGCCGGCTCGAGAAAGATCAACTGTTTGCTCGCTCGTCGGCAACTTTCCCGAGTTGTGCTATGCGCGTCGCGTGGCATTCTCGCTTTATATAGCGGCCGGCTAAGTCAGCGCCGGGCTCCGGTTACGACGGCCGGCCGGCCGCCCGCCAGGCCCCACCGTCGATTCCGTCTCCGCCGTGGCCCCCCTCCCGGCCGGGCCACGCTGCCGTCCGCGCCCGCGTCTCTCGCGCCGGTTCATTGGCGTGCGGGGTTTGTCGGGCCCCGCTCCCGCTGTCAGACGCCAGGGCCGCAACCTTTTGGTTAAGCCTCTGTAATCGCACCGCGCAGGCTCGCTCGTGAACGCGCAAACACACGCACACACACACACGGGTAAGCCGCGTGTGCGTACAGGTGCACGTGTACACGAAGGCTCGGTCTAGACAGTGACTGTCTCATCCGTACCGTGTTCCACCACCACACTGCAGGTCACAACAACATGCTCACTCACCCACTCACCACACTGGAGGTCACAACGCTTCGATTTCTGCTTCTTCCCTCGCACTGCTCCACTTTGGAATTCCAACCCACCGTTTCATTTTCCTAGGCTCTTACAATTAGCCTTCGCACAATTTAAGAAACGTTTAAACTCTTATCCGTTACCACTCTGATGGTGTGATTTGTTGCTGGCCGCTTGACGTCACAGGCCTTTGGGCCTGTGCTCAGCAACTGATATTCAAGAAGAAGAAGAAGACACGCGCACACACACACGCGCACACGCCGAGCAAGCGAGCCGGTGCTGCCACGCTCCTCACAACCGCTTCACAGGTGGACTGTGCCCCTGGTTGGGGCCTCACACAATCACTCGCACTTCTTTCAAAATCTCTGCACTTTCGGACGCTGTTAACGCAAAGATACAGCTGGTAAATAAGTATAAAAATGGATGAGCAGACAACACACTTCTTCCTTCCACGTACAAAAAAAGTTAGTATTTTTTTTCCACATCAGCCACACAGCCTTGTGGGTATGCATTTTTGACCTGCTTAGTTCAACACAAGCAAAGCTCTGGAGCGGTTTCAACATTTAGTGTCTCATCAGCAAAGCCAGGCTCGTATAAACCAATGGTGGTGAAGTGCCGGATGTTTATAGGCAAGGGCCCTCTCTGTTAGATAAGGGTCCTCTTTAACGATAAGTTAGTGCTCCAAGTGGAGCCGCGGTGTCGGATGCCAGGGCCTGCCAGGGAGAAGCGCCCTCGGCGCCGAGCCCGGCTCTCGCTGTGCCTCACCCAGGCCCCCTCCGTTCCCGGCAGGAACCGGGCCGACACGCGCCCAGCCAGAGCCGCCGCACGAGAACGTGAACGCCGCGCTCTCCTGCCCAGGAAACGATTCCTTGACGCTTCACAAAGAAAAAAAATATGCACCGCGCTTAAATCATGGCAGCCGCGTGAAAACACGAAGCTCCACGCTGTAAACGCTTATGACGAATGGACTCCGGTGATAAATATTGCACACTGCAGATGCATTACTGCTCATAAAATATAGCTGTTTGTAAAAACAGGGGATCTGAAGAATGTTAATGTGCAGTTCCACTCATTACGAGCGGGTCCCCGGTGAGGGGTTCGCACAGCGAGCGCTCTGCCACCAGCGCACGCCGCTCGTAAAACAAAGCTGTTCTACTCGTAAAAGTGCGGGAAGCGGTTTAACGGAGCGGGCGCTCTGTGAGGAGCAGCCGGGCCCGGCCGGGAGAACTGGCAAACGCTTTCCGACGGTAAACACCGACCGCTGCCAATATTTACAGAACGGCTCCTTTTACTAAACGGGTTACGCCACACACCTCGAAACGAAACTCATTTTT